TAAGGCAGTCTACAGGATACTTTTGTAGTGTGCATGCCTTTATGATTATAATTGTTTATAAGCCAATACCATCACTGGATACTTGCTTCTTTAGACCAAATGCGATGGCTTCCATCTCTACAGTTCTAAGGCTAGATATATGCTATATATTCAGGTGTCTATTGGGTACATGAATAATGTAGATGCTAATTTTATTTTTCTGTTTGTGAAAAAGTTCAAGTCCTATTTAGTCTATAAGGCCTAAGCCAAGGGTCACTTTAATTTTTAGGAATCCTATTCAGGGAATGCCTCAATTCTGTGATTTTTCAACACTCATGTAGTCACAAGAAATCATTGGAACACTTTTGTTTTTAATACATATCTTTTCTGTTTCCTTAAAGCAGTCTTTTTGCTAACTATTATATACTATCATTAAGTTCTCTCACAATCCCATTTGGCCAGTTTTCTTATTTCTACTTCAGAATCACAAATTTTGAGACAAAAATGGTTTAACTACTTAGTGTATTTTTAAAATTTAGCGATATATGTATAACATCCAATCTATTGTGTAGTCATGGCAGCCAAATACTACTAAAATCTATTATAGTTGTTCTTTTGTAGTATAAAACAACAAGCAAATATTAAAATGTTGCTTAATTGTACTAAACTCTTGAAATTTTGTTCTATCTACTAACAATGCATCTACTACACATAGGGAGTAAAGAAATGAATAGAGAAAAAGCTCTTGCTTCATGAATTTCACAATCAATATTAGATGATAGAATGGATGCGCGTGTGAATTACGTGTTATTAAGAAAGTCACAATCTAATTGGGGTAGAATCGAAAGGCTATCTTCTTAGAAGTACATTTCAAGGGCTGAGAGATTGCAGAAGAGGACTGATTTCCCTTTGTTTTGGACTGGAAGAATTAATATGCCTTTTTGAGGAGACACGAAATTTGAGGAGTATTTTGTTGAAGGGAAAAAGTTGGACAATATTCCAAGGATAGGACAATGTGGGCTGAGGATTCGCTTCCAACAGACTAGCCTCTGTATTTTCAATGTCGTGAACTTTCTCAAAGAGTCGCTTTAAGCTGCGTTTTTTTATATTTTTTTGCTGACATCACTTCCTCTGGCACATTGCCACCCTTTCCTTCACAACTGTTTTCCTTATTTTTGTCAATACATTTGCCTTCACTAAGTTTGTCTGGCTGTATATATAAGGACCTCTTTTATATATTTATTTTTTTTTGAGTTGGAGTTTCACTCAGTCGCCCAGACTGGAATGCAGTGGCTGCTCCTGGCCACCGCAGCCTCGACCCACTGGGCTCTGGCGATCCTTCCACCTCAGCCTTTCGAGTAGCCAGAATTACAGGCGCGTGCTACCACGGCTGGCTGATTTTTGATTTATTGTAGAGATGAGGTCTCGCTGCCCAGACGGGTCTGGAACCCGCGGGCTCAGGCAATCCACTCACCTCAGCCTCCCAAAGGTGCGGGATTACAGGCTGAGCCACCGAGGACCTCTTAATGGTGACTATATCAGCAGTTCTTACAGTCAGGTATTTCTTCTGTCGTTCCATTTAGGTTTGACTTTAATTTCATTTGTAGTGTTATCACTTTTCATTTCTTTGCTGCACTTTCACCTTTGTTGACCAGTTTTATAGTTTAATTATGATTATGTGTTGTAAAATGTCACTTGAATTTATCATAGGCAAGGAAATAACACAAATACACACTTTTCTGTTTGTACATGAGCTTAATAACAGATGTGTAGTTATCAATCTGCAACAGACTTTAAAAAAGGTAATTTGATTGATCACTAATCATGATGCACATATGTTATTTATAAAATGATTTGTGGACTGAAGAGCTGACAGTAAAGTTTGTACTTTGTGCAATTGTTTACAGTTAACATACTATGGCAACTGAAAGTAGGGTCATCTTGTTGGGGGTTTAATGTTATTTAACAGATTTGGGGATACTGAAATTTATGCACATGGAATTACACAAAGCAATGATTGCCTGTGTTTCTAAATGTTTGCAGGAATTTAAAAATGAGCCATCCCGTGTTCATGGATTGGAACACTTAATATTGCTAAAAATGTCCATACTACTCAAAGCCATCTACAGATTCAATGCAATCTCTATCAAAACCCCAAAGGCACTGTTTACAGAAATAGAAAAGGCAATTTTAAAATTTGTGTGGAATCACAAAAGACCTGGAATAGCCAAATCTTGAAAAAGAAAAAAAAAAAAGAAGCTGAAATAATCACATTTCTTGATTTCAGAGTATATTATAAGCCTGTGTTAATGAAAACAGTATGATACCAGCATAAAGAGAGACATATAGACCAATACAATAGAGTAGGGAGTCCAGAAATAAATCCATGCTTGTGTAGTCAACCGATCTTTCACAAGGATGCCAAGAATACACAATGAAGAATTGATATAGGGACACATATCATCAACAAGTGGTGTTAGGAAACTTGGACATGCACAAGTAAAATAATGTAATTGGACCTTTATCTTACAATATACACAAAAGTTAACTCAAATAGATTAAATACCTACACATAAGACCAGAACCTGTCAAACTTTTGGAGGAAAACTTCAAGGATAGATTCATGCTTGGTCAGGCAATTATTTCATGGATATAACACCAAAGGCATAGGCAATAGAAATAAAAACAAGTGAGACTGAATCAAAAAGCAAAGGAGACAATCAGCAGAATGAAAAGGCAACCTGCGGAATGGGAGAAAATATTTGCAAGCTATTAATCTGATAATTATCACTCAAAAGGAAAAAAAAACAAACACCATCTCATAACCTGATTAAAAAACATGCGAAGGACTTGAATTGATGTTTCTTAAAAGAAAACATACAAATGGCCAACAGGTATATGAAAAAGTGCTTAGTGTCACAAATCATCAGGAAAATGCCAATCAAAACCATAATGAGATCTCACCTCCCACTTGTCAAAATGACTATCATGAAAAAAAAAAAAAGACACCAAATGTTGGTGAAGATATAGAAAATTTAGAACCTTTACACACTGTAGATAGGAATGCAAAATGGTATAGCTGCTATGGAAATTCCTTAAAAAATTAAAAATAGAACTGCCATATGATGCTACCATCCCATTTCTGGGGTAATATTCAAGATAATTGAAAGCAGGATCTCAAAGCTATATGAACACTCCAATGTTCATTGCAGCACTATTTACAATAGCCAAGATGTGGAAACAAGAGAAATGCCTATGAAGAGATGACTGGATAAAGAAACTGCATACAATGAAATAATATTTAGCTTTTTTTAAAATAGAAAATTCTGCAATATGTGACTCTATGGATCAAACTTGAGGACATTATGCTCAATGAAATAAGTTAGTCACAGAAAGAGAAACAGTGTGTAATTCTACTTATCTGAGGTATGTAAGACAGTTAAATTTATGGATCCAAAGAGTAGAATGTAGGTTACCTGGGTCTAGGGGATTAGGGAATGAGGAGTTACTAAACAATAATCAATGGGCATAAAGTTTCAATTAAACAAGATGAATAAACTTGAGAGATCTGTACAACATTGTACCTATAGTTAACAATAATGAATTGTACACTTAAAAATTTACTAAGAGGTTAAGTCAATTGTGAAGTGTTCTTACAACTTAATACATTTTAATACATGTAAGCAAATATATGCATGAGCAAATGAACAAACAAAAACTAGCAGTCAGGTGATAGATATATTTGCACTGGAAAGGATATACGTCGGAAGCTGAGAGAGCAGCTAGACAATTATAATAATACTTAAAGAAAGATAAATTAGGACTTCAAAGTGTACATATAGTTCCTTACAATTACTTAAAAGATAGAATGTGAGTCAGAAGAAAACTTTAAAAGTTGAATTTCTGTAGGAGATAAAATTAAAAGTCAATATTGATTGTGTTTCTACTCTATTTTGAGATATAAACCCAATAAAAAGGCACGCATATGTCCACATGAAGAAGAATTTTCACAGCAGTATTATTTCTAATAGGAAATACCTGGAAAAACCTCAAATGTCCATCTACACAAGAATAGATCACTAAAACTGTGATTTAATCATACAATGGAATATCATACATCAATAAAAAGAAATGAACTTTTGCAACAAAGAAAATTAAACAAAAAAAGTTTGACACAAACTTGTATGATATTTATATAAAGTTCAGAGACTGGCAAAGATATTCTGTAATATTAGAAGCTAGGGAACTATTTATTTTTATCTCTTAGAAGAGTCATGAGGGAGGGTTTCCAGGGCAGCTCATGTTCTATTTTTTGATTTAATATTGGTGCCAATTACATGGTGTGTTTATTTTGTGAATATTCTTTGAATTGTACATTTGTGTTTTATATACCTTTCTGTAAATATGTTATTATTCAATTTGAAAATATATACATATACACATATTCAAGTTGAAGATATATATATACACATATATACATAATATGAGCATGTATATGTGTGTGCATATAAAAGACAGAAAGAGAAATTACGCTGGGGGAAGGCTCTTATGCTTTTGTTAAATATGCTTCATAAATAACATTTCTCTAAACTTGAGAAAGTGATACAATGACTTGAATGATTTCAGTAAAAGATACATGCTGCAAAAAAATCTGTGTTCAGTAAAAACTAAAGTCAAATTATACTTCAAATTATCTGAGTAAAGAGAACAAAGTACTGTGTCTGAAAAAAAATATATGTATATACATATATATATTTGTTTGCTGCTTGGAACACTGAGAAATGAATTTAAATTTTTGCATGTGAGTTATTTTAATGTTATTGCACAATATCATGCCAACATTACTAAGTAATAATTTTTCATCAAACATAACGGTGATAGAATAGCCATCTGAAATACATGAACCATCCTGCAACCAAAGTGATTAATGAGATGAGTAGAAAAATAAAGGTAACTTTCTTATTCGCTTTATTTTTCCTTCTCTTGATTATGCTTGGTTGTGTGTACTCATTTGTCTGCAGTCACATTATTCTTGAAGTTTTGGAAACGGCGACAAGCCAGACTGGAATACGAGTGGGACATGGTGGACTTTGAAGAGGAGCAGCAGCAGCTTCAGCTGAGACCTGAATTCGAAGCTATGTGTAAACACAGGAAAATGAATCCCATGACGAAGGTAGCTTAGAGAATCTGAGATGGACAGCAAATCTCAATGGACACAGTGCCATAGGTTACTATATAATGATAATGATGTGGATCATCATAATGAGATTTTTATTTGCCTTTAAAGTGTTCTCCAACATATAAATCAGATAAACACCTTTAGTTGTTTCTACTCTATACATATATTTATATGCTATTTTATAGGTATGTATATGAAAATTTTCACACACATGCAAAAGTAGATACAAAAATATAATTAATGCTACCTGAGAAAAAAAGAAAATGGAAAATAGTGTGTAGGCGGTGGGCTTTGCATATAAATAGACATGGAAAGGATACTATCTTAATATGCAAAAATTAAATTGTAGTTGTAGTAGGGTGACAGTCTTATTCATGATTATTTTATTTTTCTAAATTTTTAATTCAAATTGTCTCTTAAATGATTATGGTGGGAATCATTGCATTGGTGCTGGGGGAGGGGGAATGTCTAGATTTTAGGATCCTTAACTGGCAAACTGGCTGTATGTTTTTGACAGAGTCATTTGACTTCTTGGCACCTTACTTGTGAAAACGGAAGAAACTTGGTCTTCAAAGATCAGAATCTTGGCTACACATATTCAGAGCCCTTATTTTCCAATAATCTATAATCACTATGTTACTGTTATTTAAAGGAGAGTAGAGTATGTCTCAAATGCAATAACTTCAGTAGAATTCCTGACCCTGTCCAGGACACTATTCTTGCAGTCCTTAACTCTCAAAATTCTTTTTCACAGGTAGACATTCACTAAGCATTGATTAAGTTGCATTAAAAGATCTCAGTAAAAAAACCGTAAATGAATAAAGGAGAAAAACAACTCAGAAATACATTAACAATTAGTTAGCAGTTTGAAATTAAGAAAAGATATTGACATAATAATGACATGATGCTTATATTGCTATTTCATGAGATAAAAAAATAAAACCAAATTGGGCTTATTGTATGTGCCAAAAAGTAACAGGAAAAAAAAGTGTATTGAATGCTTACATTTGAAAGTAGTTGAAAAGTAATATGCATTGATTCACTGTGAGTCACCCATTTCACGTAACTTTAATGACTTGGAAATCAAGAGGCAGAGTATTTTTTTTTCCTATTTGACTGGCAATTCTTCTTTACTGTTTAAATATAACCCAAACTGTCACAACCAAGTCTGCTTAGGAAACACACATATGAATGGACAAACACATGTACACACACAAAAAGGTATACACAGGCATGAATACACATTTAATGTGCACACATGAACACGTGAACAGGATCACATATAGGCACCCATACCTACACATCTATACAACTTGTATAGATCTATACACATCTACAGAACCACACATCCTGAGGTTCTGTAGAGCTCTTAAATAGCCCACTCTGCCTGTTCAGAATTCTGTTTGCATTCAGGTCACCCTGAAAATCCTTAAAATGTGAAAATCTTTATATGTTATAGAATTAACTGATTTAAATTTCCACTGACAACTATTTTTTTAATGGCTTTTTACTTCTTTTATGCAAAATCTACTTACCTCTTGATGTAGCTAAGATTGTCAGCTGACATAATATCTTTTATTAATGGCTCTTGAAGCCTGAAGGTGGAAAAGTCTGGGCTCCTAAACTATGTGGAAGAAAACAGCTTATGCTATAAATATTTTTTTAAAGTACTCAATTTAACATGCAGAAAAATTATAAAGGAATGCCATGGCATTTAATTCAATTAGAATAATATTAGACATCATTAACCCTCATAAAGCATGTTTATCCAAGTAGCATCCTTCAGTATTTGACTCTGTTTCCTGTCTGCCAGGCCCTAAATACCATAATTCAACACTCAAGAAATAGTGTGTATTTATTCTGCCTCATATCATGTGTAAGATATCTCATCTAGGAGGGTTGAAGTTTTCTACTTTAAGGGAAGGAGCCATTTTCAGAATGTAGCTTTCCATGAGCTATGTGGATCTTTTTGGGAAGCTTCTGTTTCAACTGGTTTCTATGATTTTGACTATTGCTTAAAGTCTCAACTTTGAGGCTATATTTCCAAATTTTATGTGTTTTCTTCAATATTATAGGAGATGGAACCTTACATGCCTCTACATGCTCGTATACCATGGTACCTTTTTTCAGGAGCCACAGTGACATTATGGGTGAGCATTTCTTTAAAAACTGTTCATTTCTTTAACAGGCAACTAAGTAGTTTCATCTGCAGTGCTTCTTGAGTCCCTCCCTCCCCTTGCTTTCTCTGGCCTCTTTATATTTTCATTATAGCTCTTGTAGAAAATAAACTGTAATTTGTATGCATTTTCCATAATTGAACTTTGGGAAAAGATCTAGGGAAAAAGGAGTGCTTTACCTTACAGTTTCCCCCCTCCCACCTCCCGCCTCAATAAGATTTCATTGTCAATGTTTTAGATCTGTATGAAGACTTCAGAGTCAAGGTTTTAGATCTATATTAAGATTTCATAGTCAATGTTTTAGATCTGTATGCAACCACAGATATACAGAGACCCAAGTAACCAACTCTTTGTTTCCCTTCCTTAGATGGCTCTTGTCATCTCCAGTATGGTAGCTGTCATTGTGTACCGCCTGTCAGTCTTTGCTTCTTTTGCTAGATTCATGGAAAGTGCTGAATCCTTAAAGAATGTGAAAAGTTTCTTTACTCCTCAGATAGCCACATCACTCACAGGATCGTGCTTGAACTTTATTGTCATCATGATCTTGAATTTCTTTTATGAGAAGATATCTGTCTGGATTACAATAATGGGTAAGTGGGCCAATCAGTCATGTAATTTTGAAGAAGGATTTATACCAATACTATGCATCCATTTTGGATTACCTCTCAGGAATTTCATTATCGAATGGCACATTTTAAGGTAGTTTTGCTCTGTAGGTAGTCCCATAGCCTGGTGCATCAGAATTACCTGAGAACAACATTTGGGTTCATTATAATGGAAGGAGAAACAAGAAATGAACAAAAAGAATTTGGACACTAGATCTTTTTGAGAATGCTTGTCTTAATCCTCTCTTGATGGGGTTAGTCAAATCTTAAGTAAAATCCTCACTTTACTCAAGACCCAGGTAATTTGTATTATATTTCATGTGTATGGTTTAAAGAAGGTATTTGATTTTGGAAACCATCATGAGAAAAGCAGAACCATCAACTCCTACTAAATAAATCTATAACTGAGTGCTTTCTTTCCAGTTGCAATTTCTTATAACTTGGATTATTTTCTTGTTAAAATATTAAAATGTATCCTAAAGCCATAAGGGGAAGTGAAAGGAGTCACAGGTGACATGAAAGATTCGGTCAGCAGAAGAGCACAGGGCACAGTTGTTTCTGGTCTTGTCCTTGGCAAGTTAACAATAAGTCAACTCAAAGCCTTTTCTCTGAGTGCTCTTTCCAGTGTTCAAGCTCCTCTGAATCTGTGCACTGGCATCTCGCCTGTGTTGAACAAAAAGAACACATTATTCACTTAGCACTGGGATGGGCACTGAGATACAGCTTTCATTATGTACTATCCTCAAATTTGGAATTCTCTTGATTTTACTTCTCTCTGCTGGCAACAGCAAGAAAATCACAGCAGATAACTGCACTTAAGAAGTCACAGTTTTCCTCAGTGAGAAAAATAACTCAAGTTCACAGTAGAGATTTTGTAGGAATACAGCTAAATTTGTACTTAAATGGGGGAGTTATCTGTATCTTTAGAATATTGTGTGTTACTGTTCCAGTATTTTCAAAAATATTGTAGATTTGGCTGGGTCAGCTTATACTACTGGGACATTATCAACTCAGAAAAACATACTGCCTTACTCTCTTATGCTTTATGATGCTCTACTGTGGTGTGAACAGAATTTACTATTCTCTCTCTCTCTCTTTGAGTTGGAGTCTCACTCTGTCACCCAGGCTGGAATGCAGTGGCACTCATGGCCACCGCAGCCTCAACCTGCTGGGTTTAGGTGATCCTTTCACCCTAGCCTTCCAAGTAGCTGGAACCACAGGTGTGCACCACCACGTCTGGCTGATTTTTGATTTATTGTAGAGGCAAGGTGTCGCCAAGTTGCCCAGGCTGACCTCAAACCTACGGTCTCAGGCAATCCTCTTGCCTCCACCTCCCAAAGTGCTGGAATTACAGGCGTGAGCCACCATGCCTGGCTAGAATCTACTATTTTCTTTTCTTTGGAATTCATAAAATGAAAGATCATGATCATGCATTTTAAATAAAGGAGAGGGAGCTTGTGTACTATTTCTTCTGCCATTTGTCATCACATTGCTTTCAAAATTAATATAGCCATTTAATTCATGAGAGAGAAGCACAATTCAGTTAGAAATCATCCCTGCCCTTGACATGAGCTCACTTAGTTTAAACCTAATTGTAAGCAGATAACAGAGAGAGAAAGCTATGACATGTTTCTGAGATAGCACATAGTGTGTTGGGCCTGCATAAGGCTGGTCTCCAGTCTTGGGTGGGTTTGAATTCCACATCCGGACTGTGTGACTCCTCCCATAAGTATTCTATTTCTCTGAATGTGATAATGACTGTTTCCTAGGCTTTTCCAGTGGTTAGATTAATACAAAGTGTCCAGCAGAAAGCCTAAAACAAAATCCATTGTTACTTAATATTGCTCTAATTTTACCAGAGTCTCTCAGAACGATATAACTTGATGTCCATTTGCCCTGAGGAATACAAAGTTCAAGAAGAAACAGGAAGGTGCGTTAAACCTTAATTTCTTTCTTTCTTTCTTTCTTTTTTTTTTTTTTACTTGTCAGAAATTCCTCGAACTTACCAGGAGTATGAGAGCAGTCTTACCTTGAAAATGTTCCTGTTTCAGTTTGTAAATTATTACTCGTCCTGCTTCTACGTAGCTTTCTTTAAAGGGAAGTTGGTGGGCTACCCCGGAAAATACACCTATATGTTTAATGCATGGAGGAGTGAAGAGGTAAGAATTTCCTTGAGAGATGAGTTCTATATCTTCAATAAGTCAACATTAACTGAATACTTTCTGCGTGCCCAGCACTAACTCAAATATTAACAAGTTGTGGCTGGACTAGACACAGGTGTAGTTCACAGAGAGCTTTGTCCACAGCTTAGCCCTGCCATGTGGTGAACTTTCCAGTTTATTTCAGAAAATAAGTTATTGTGTGCCAATGACTTGGTAGTGAAATATTAACTATGAAATAAGTAAGTTCTGCCTTTTTGAATGCTGCCTGCACAGGAAGAAATATTTCTGGAGAAAAAGTTCCACTATAGGTTATAAAGTTAGGCCAGATAAGTGGCTTCCAGATTTCATGGAGAGTATACCAACTTCCAACCCTAACCCTGACATAAAAATTCAGAGTTTTTTTTAAAGGGGGAGACCCAGAAATCTGTGTGTTTAACAATCTGTAGATGAATCTAATGTAGCCAACCTGGCCTGGGTCTGTAGTCATGTTTGGAAGTATTGGGCTAAATATCTCTTTAATCCTTTTAGTATCTCTTTCAATCAAAGTATGGAGATTCAGATCTTACAGTTGAGGGTTTCTTTTAGTTGTTGCAAAATTCTGTCTTTCACCATTCACTTCTTTTTCTCCCCTCTTGCTTCTGAGTAGTGTGATCCTGGAGGATGTCTTGTAGAACTGACGACCCAACTGACCATAATAATGTTCGGGAAACAGATTTTGGGAAACATTAAAGAAGCTATTTATCCGTATGTATGATTGACAAGTTTTTAAAATTTGATTTAACTACCCATGAGAGATTTTCTCTGAGAGAGGATAGATTTTTCTAAAATTATCATGGCACCTTTGTTAGGAAATATTTAAGCCAACAAAAGACTTCATTTTTTATCAGCAATGAACATTGCATTAAAGTATTACAGGGCTTTTATTTTTGTTCAGGTTTTGGTTTCATGGCTAGCAAATTTTTAAAAAATTATATTGATAGATAATAATTATTTATGAGATAAAATGTAATGTTCTGAATATAGACTTTTAAATATTTAACTGTTGCTGTAATAAAAATGAGGGGAAAGTAGTTATTTCTGTCTCATATGATGATTTCACTGTGAAATTTAAATGTTATATTCTCTGTAGATTACATGTTGCATATTATTATACATGTCACAGATTACTAAAAGTTGAACTGTGTAAAAATATCTATGTACTATGTCATCTTGGCATAAAAATTGGTTGCAAGTGAAATGATGCCAATACATTGAAAAGAATACTCTCTGATCCAAAAAATAGCAATAATTAATACACCTAAAAAGAAAACTAAAATGCCAGTTGATCTCAAATATTAGGTGAACATTCTCATGGATTAAAATAGAAAGAGTATAAAGTCATAATTCTGTGTTCCTGCAGGACTCTTAGGAAATGATGGGGTCAGGGTTTGGCATCTTCAGTATAATGTGGAATAAAAGTATTCCATTTAAGCCAGAGGACTGGCAAGTTTAGATGGAATTAAAGCCAGGGATTGGGCTTATTCTAGTGTTTATGAAAGACGATTAAAAATATGCTCCCTGTCAACATACACAAAGTTTCATAGTGCTACTAGGATTCTATTTCATGAGCTGATAAAGGAGGAACCTGGGCTTATCCTTACAAGGGGTAATAGACTTGAGTCAGGCCTTTTTTTAGTTTTGTGACTAGACATACCACATCCCTAAAGGAAATAACACCAAACAATTATTTGAAGTCCTAGCACTTGAATGAAAATCCAGGGACAGAATACAGGCAGTCCCTAAACCAAACACAGAAAGGAGGATAAATATGCAAGAGGAGGGAGATGGACAAACTGAGTAAATAAAAGAATTAAACACACACACACACACATCCCCATATCCACACCCACACACACACCCAAGGGAAAATTATATATGCAGGGGTAGGAGACAGACAAACAGACCGGGTAGGGTAGATGAAATATTTTTTTAAAAAAGCAATAAAAAAAAACCTAAGCTTGCCTACAAATCAAAATTCTAAAATATATAATGAGATTTAATGCTACAAAGGCTGTTAACAAAATCGCTGATTAGAATGTGACCTTACTATAGCTGATGATTCTAACTAGAAGATTCTGGCAAACCCCTTAAAAAAAAATGTATGTTAACAATACTAACACCATAAGGGAAGGTGATACTGTCATTAAAAAGGATCAGTAAATAGTGAGGCTGAACATGTTTTCATGTATCAGTTGGCTGCTCATATGTCTTATTAGAGTCTATAATAGAGAGTGCTCTATCACAGAAACAAAGAACTGAGTACCACATGTTCTCACTCGTAAGCAGTCCTTGAACAATTATAATACTATAAGAAAGGGATTGGTAGCAGTGGGAAATGACCAGAGGAGGGGGAGGACACACATCATCAACAAAGGTACCTACATAATGACCATTTGTGTACCTGACCCTGAATTATACCCCCCATTTAAAAAGAAAAAAATCATGCATGTGACACTGTTTAAAAAAAAGGATCAGTAAATAAATAAAAACTGACAGAAATGGAACAAAAATAGATGAATATGAAAAGGAATCAATTATATAATCAATTGATGAATGAGTTTGTAAATTGGAAAATAGTACTGAGAAATTCTCATATTGTACAGGGCAACACAGAGACTGAATTTTTTAAAAAAGTAAAGTAACAGTAGGTTAGATGAACAGTCTTCCACATTAAGCTACTAGTAGTTCCAAAAAATAGTAATTAAGTTAATGGTGGAGAAAAAAATTATTCGAGTAGATCATTCCTTAAAATTTTCCAGAAATGAAGAAAACCATGAGTTTCAGAAATGAAAATGAATTCTGAGTATAAGGCAAGGTATGTAGAATTAAATTCACACCCACATTCATTATGGTGAGGCTACAGAACATCAAAAATACACCGACAGTCTTTAAAATCTATCAGAAGAGCCAGGTGCGTTAGCTCAAGTCTGTAATCCCAGCACTTTGGGAGGCCCAGGAGAGAGGATTGCCTGAGCCCAGGAGTTCGAGCCTAGGGGTTGTGAGACCTCGTCTCTACGATAAACCAAAAAATTAGCCAAGCTTAGTGGTGTGTACCAGTAGTTTCACCTACTTGGAAGGCTGAGGCAGAAGGATCACCTGAGCCCAGCAGGTGGAGGCTTCAGTGGCCGTAAGCATGCCACTGCACGCCAGCCTGGGTGATGGAGTAAGACTCCAACTCAAAACAACAACAACAACAACAACAAAACTATCAGAAGAAAAGATGAACTATCTTCAAAGGAATGCCATCTATGCTATTAACACATTTCTTATTAATAGCATTAATGACCAGAAGACAGTAGAACATTTTTAAGGTTCCGAGTGAAGAGAATATTCACTTTAGATTTCTAGAACCAGGTTACCTGCTATTTAAAATGCAGGTAAAATAAAGATATTTTTAAACATAAAAAGATTAACAGAGTTTGCATTTATATAGAACCTCATGGAAAGTTCTACTTGATCAAGAAAACAAAGTATAAGTATAGGAAGCAAGGAACATAGGTGAGCACAGAATTTGTTAACTCTAAAAAAAAAGTGTTTTGGTATGAATCTAAAAGTCATATACTAAAAAATCTAGGTAAAATAAATTTAGAAAAACCATATAATTGGAGAGAACTATCATGTTCATGGTCAATTATTCCCAAATTTATATATATTCTTATTGTTATTCTAATCAAAATGTCAACAGGAGTTTGTAGGTATAAAGTGGATTCTAAACTTTACCTGGAAGGACAGCAAATTCAAATAACCAAACTGAGTGTCATCAAAGAAAATTTGATTTTAAAACCTACTATAAAATTACATTAATCAAGATAGGGTGGGATTCTTGAAGGGATAGTTATAATGATCAGTGAAACAGAGTAGAGATTATAGAAACAGATACTCTCTAGATACTGCAACTGGGTGTCATGGCTCACACCTATAATCTCAGCACTTTGAGATTCCTGGACTCAAGCCCAGGAATTTGAGACAGCCTGGGGAACATAGGGAGACCTTGTCTCTACAAAAAAAAAATACGAGTGTGGTGGCATGTGCCTTTAGTCCTATCTACTTGGGAGACTAAATTACTCATACTCAGAATTGAATTGGAAGGATTGCCTGAGCCCATGAGGTTGAGGCTACGGTGATCCATGATTGTGCCACTGCACTGCAGCCTGGGTGACAGAGAAAGACTCCAACTCAAATTTAGGGGGAAAAAAAAGAAGAAGAAGAGGAAATTATATAGATTGCAGAAATTTGTCATCTACAGAAATTTGGCCATTTTATTTTGGACAGAGGTACAAAAACAATTCATTGAAGAAAAATAGTACTTTTATCAAATGGTGTTGGAACAATTGGACATTTGCATGCAAAATAATGAAACTACTCATAAACAGTACATTTCATTCAAAAATTAACTCAGAATGGGTCATAGATGAAAAAACTGTTCTTAAGAAAGCAAGGAAGTAACTATTATAAAATTTAAGATAATGGCTACTGATACAGAGCTGCTGGAATTTCTATCAAAGTTTTCTTTCTTAAGGGACCTATTTTCCATTGCTGCCAGAGACCAGCTCCAGCTGGGTTCAGGGTACCCCAAAGGTGGAGATGGCATCGGCGATTGGGGGGAAGAAGAGAGAAAGAAAGAGACTGGACTCCAGTCTAGTGCAGAAGCGATGTGTGTTATTGGGAATTGCAACGGGTCTTTTATACACAAAGTCAGATGTGGGAGGGGCATTCCCCATCCACCAGATGTTCTTTCAGGTATAATCCCATAACCTAATCCATGAAACCTTAATTCATGACTACCTTTAAACCCTTTTCGTACTGTCTATAAACCCTTTTAATATTGCCTATAAACCCTTTTTGTACTAATACCAAGTTAAACAATTCTATACAGACTTAAGTACTTACTTTACAAACTAAATGTTTGGAATGTGGCCCAGTCCAAAGTTCACAGTGGGCTACCTGCAACTATCCCAGCCGCATTCTTTCAACAAAATGGCTGTCTTCTAAAACTATATTCTACAATTTACACCTTCAATAAATCCTAAGATCATGACCCAGAAACCTGTCACCAATACTAAGGCTCTTAGATGTGACATGAGTTTGAATTATAAGTTGTGTGAAAGCCAAAACTGCAGTTTGTGAAAGAATGGGAGCAATGAGCTTCTAAAGTTAGCTTGTGTTCTTCCCAATCTCAGAGAGTTTCCATGTTTTGAGCTCACAGGAGCTTAATCTGGTTAGTGCTGAGTAGAAAGGGGGAGGAAATGGGGTCAATAGCTCCCGAACGCATCCTAGTGGTCTCAGGGTTAACAGCCCTTCCTGATCCCTAACGCTCAGTGGGCCTCCATGGCCGGCTCCCAACACATTGTGACTGCAATTATAGCATGCCCATCTGTCTGAGAGTGTCTCCAAAATTCAGATGTTTATTTTCTCTTCATCATTTTTTTTTCTCTTTGTGTTCCAGTTTGAATATAAGCAGTATATAGATGTTCCTTTTTTCTTTTTTTGAGTTGGAGTCTTACTCTGTCAACCAGGCTGGAGTACCATGGCACACTCACGGCTTCCCCAGCGTCGACCTGCTGGGCTCCGGCGATCCTTCCGCCTCAGCCTTCCAAATAGCTGCAACTACAGGCGCACACTACGCCGGCTAATTTTTGATTTACTATAGAGATGAGGTCTCACCAAGTTGCCCGGGCTGGTCTCAAACTCACCGGCTCAGATAATCCACTCACCTCGGCCTCCCAAAGTGCTGGGATTACAGGTTGAGCCACCGAGCCCACCACGCCCTCCTTTTTTAAAAAAAAAAAGCAGGATTTATTGAGGGCAGAAAAGCTCCCTCAGTGGGAGAAGACCCAAAGGGGTTGCCAGATGTTTCTTTTAATACACATTGCTAGAATACTTCATATTGTCCTATTTATTGATTTTTGCTAATTTGGAAATAGAAGTTTCTCATTTTAGTCTTATTTTTCATTTTCCTGGTTAAAAACCTAAATAAACATTATTTGGTCATATTTGTTTTCTTTTTTAAGAAAATACTTGTTCACATTGTTTAACCATTTTCTTACTTGGCAGTTTATCTTTTTCTAAGTATTTGTACTAATACTTTACAATTTCCACTTACTGTTTTTTGTCTGGTTTTTGATTGTATGTGTTGGAAATATTTTATTTCAACACAAATTTTAACTTGTCATTTTTTCATAGAATATTTAGGTCATGATTTATTAGCCTCAGCATTATTGATATCTTGGACCAGATAGTTCTTTGTTGAGGAATAGAGAAGACTAACCTTTGCGTTGTAGGCAGCATCCTTGCATTCTGTCCACTAAATACCAATCACTCACCACCTCCAGAGTTGTCCAAAAACAACTCCAGACATTGAAAATGTACCCTTTGTGGGCAAAATTACTCTCAGCCGGGAGACACTGCTTTAGATGGACAAAAGTACATAATCTTAGTATGGTAGACTATATCCATTTTTCTTATGTGGGTTAGCATTTTAAAAGTCTTGTTTAAGAGCTCCTTTCCGGGACTGGCAGTGGCCAGAAACTGCAGTGAGGGGAGTACACATAACATTAATAAGTGTACCTGATCTCAAACCAGGCGAAACTACAGGTGTGCGCTACCACTCCTGGCTAATTTTTAAAAGTTATTTATTGTAGAGATGAGGTCTTGCCAAGGTACCCAGAACTGGTCTCGAACCCGCAGGCTCAGGCAATACATTCACCTCGTTCTCCCAAAGTGCTGGGATTACGGATTGAGCCACCGAGCCCGGCCACTTGTAAACTTTTTAATATATTTTAGCATTATTATCTTTCACTTTCAAATTCTTAATATGTATGGGGAGGATTTTTATGTATTATGTGAGACAATGGTCTACATATGTGTATAGCTATATATGTAAATTATATGTATAAATCATCATATTATTATTTATTCAAAAGTCCCTCATTCTGCTGTCTGTGATCTACAATACCATTTATACTATATACCAAACTCAGAGCCATTTCTAGTTCACCATTCCAGAATTTGTCTATCCTTATACCAAAACTACAGTCGCTTAATACAGCTTTATAATAAGTTGCTATCTGGTGAGGCAAGTTTTATAAACTTGTTCTTCAATTATAGGACTGTCTTGACTTTTCTTGGTCTTTTGCCTTTCTGTATTAATTTTTAGAAACACTTTGTCAGATTTCACATAGAAAAATATTTTGGTTTGTTGATTGAAATTACATTTTACTTGTTTCAATATAAAAACTTGATTTTTTTTTTTTTTTGAGTTGGAGTCTCACTCTGTCACCCAGACTGGAGTGCAGTGCGTGCTCCCGGCCACCGCAGCCTCGACCTGCTGGGCTCCAGCGATCCTTCCGCCTCAGCCTTCCAAGTAGCCGAAATTACAGGCATGTGCAACGACGCCTGGCTGATTTTTTGATTTATTATAGAGATGAGGTCTCGCTGTCCAGGCACGTCTCGAACCCGCGGGCTCAGGCAATCCACTCACCTCAGCCTCCCAAAGGCACGGGATTACAGGCTGAGCCACCGAGACTGGCAACTCTTTTTTTTTATATTGCCAGATCTTCTTTATGAACATTTATTTTGAGCTTTAATATCTTCAAATAAAGATTTTAAACTTCTACATTTAGATCTTACAATTTTTTTGTCAAATTCACTTTTAAGTACTTTTAAGTGCTATTATAAATGATATCTTTTTTAAAATTATATTTTTAGATATAATTTGTGTTGTGGGCATACAGGAATGAAATATATTGATATACCTTATTATTTCTGATAATTTATATCTAACTTCACTTTGACTTCCTATGTAATTATATCACTTAATAATCATAGATATCTTCTCTTATTGTCAATTCTTTAGTACTTTTTTTTCTTTTTTTCTTTTTGTATTGGCCAAGATCTCCAGTAGAATATTGAGTGTGATCATGTACATTTTGTTCTTGATTCTAAAGGGTATGCTTCTGACTTTTTCCTATTAAGAATGATGTTTGCCTTAGGATTTTAGATGAGATTGAGGTAATTTTCTTCTGTTTCTACTTTTTTTTCATAAGCAGTTTTTTTGTTGTTTTGTTTTTGTTTGTTTTTGAGTCAGCATCTTACTCTGTCACCCAGGTTGGAGTGCAGTGGCACAATGACAGCTCACCACAGCCTTAACGACCTAGACTCAGGTCATCTTTCACACTCAGGCTCCCTAGCAGCAGGGACTACAGGCAGGAGCCACAATACCTGGCTAAATTTTTTGATTTTTTTTAAGAGACGAGGTCTCTCTATGTTGCTTAAGCTGATATCAAACTCCTGGGCTTAAGTAATCCTTCCACTTTGGCCTTCCAAAGTGCTGGGATTACAGATGTGAGCAACCACTCCTGACCTATAAATAGGTGCTAACAATTACTTAAAATATATAAAATGCATTTTTCTGCATCAGCTGAGACAATTTTATATTTTTTCTTTTTAACTCTGTCAATGTGATCAATTATATCGATAAGGTAATTTTTTAAAACTTTTTATTTCTCAAAGTAGTTCAGCATTATCATGATATATTATCTTTTTGAGTAGTATAAAATTTAGTTGGTTAATATTTTGTCAGTGTTATAGTTTAGTGTTATTTTCATGTTATATAAGCCTCTAAATTTCCTTTTTCATACATTTTCTATTATAATCAATTTCTTATTTTCTTGAATTTCCTTCTGAATATTATGGCAGAGTGAAGGTTAGCAAATGATCCTAGTGGTGACCTTCTCCTCTGCTAGCTCTGTAACAGAACTTTCTGAGCAAATATATTTTTGCAAACAGAGCCAGGGTTGTCTTATTTTCTTAAACACCCTAATAAAAACTGTTGCCCTCTGAATGTGTTATGCAAAGAACACTAGATTTTTATTTGGACCTTGATCAGAGTCATATTTCTCCTTGCTCTGTGACTTTAGGTTATTTAACCTCTCTTTCTGTCAATGTATAGATTTAACACTCCAATTCTCTGATGTTTTCCTTTTTGCTTGTTCTCATGTGTGTACTTTTATCACTTCTACAGCTTGGCTTTGAACTGGTGGAGACGCCGAAAAAGTCGAACCAACTCTGAGAAACTCTATAGTCGATGGGAGCAGGATTATGACCTTGAAAGTTTTGGATCCCTTGGGCTGTTCTACGAGTACCTAGAAACAGGTAATTTTAACCACTGTTCTGAAACAGAGTCAGCCTAAATAAAATAAATAGTTCTTCATCTCTTATTATTTCTTTCTGTCTTGCATGTAGTGGGTGTTCAATCATAGTAGGTCAAATCATTGAATTACTGATGAAAAGATGGAAGAATGAATACAGAGAAGATTGATTCACTAGCTTTCTGTCCCCATCAACATAGAATTCTGAATAAAGTTTAGTTTCAGACCCCAGTCTTAGAGATATACTTCCTATTGAACTCTATATCCAGTTAAATGTTAATATTTGTGAACCAAATCAAGTAAAAATTGCTTTTAACACCTGCCTCAAATGAGCTTTGATGGCCATTTCTCCTTTTGTTTGTTTCAGTGACACTCAGGGAGAGAAAAAGTTGGAAAACATTTCCAGAGTCTGACATGCATGTCCTTTATGTCAGGCTGAAAAGGAGAATAGGGTCAGTTGTGTAAGGGAAACCCAAGCTGAGCACCAGAAATGCCTAAAATGTTTCAGGGTTAAACAGAAAAGAAACCTTGAGGTGAAATTTTAGGAGAGATTGTGCTGGGGATTGTTTCTGTAGTCTATTCAGTTCCACTCAAGCGACTTTCTCTGTTTTGCTTGAGGAATTAAGAAGGATGTTTCTCTTAACTTAGGCCATACAACCATGATAGAATAAATGAGATGACCCAAAATTGTTCAAGATTCTCCTGTTTAACATATACATGTGAGGCATGAGTTAAGTAGGTAAATTTAGGACAAATAAAAGTCTATTTTATATAGCTCGTTGTAAAATTAGATAACCCTTGCTTTATGAGGTGATGAGCCTGTAATTTTTAATAATTATATAAGTTTCAAATGAATCTGTACGCACATGCATCAGAGATTACTACCAAAATTAATAGATTAAATCAAGGTTTCATTGCAAGATTCACTAGCATTCATTGAGACACAACTGAGAGTTAATTTATTCTGGAAACTTTGCATGCAGTATCTCTAATCTTGAAACAATTCTAACATTATTTGATATAATTTATGTTTGAGGATTCTGAAACTTGAGACTGGTTAATAAGTTTTCTCTGCACCACAATGATTTTCGGTAAATATCTGAGAGTTGATCCAGAAAATCCATGCTGCTTCTACATAATATCTCCTTTTCATTTTCTATCTCTCAGTTCCATAGAGATAGCAGGAAAGGAGGGAGTCAGAACACATTTGCTCACTTGATAACGAGGCTGATTCAGTCTATGAGAGAAGCCGAAATCCAGAAACATTTGAGATTTATTTAAGATAGAGGACTAAGGCAAGATTACTTCCTCTTTGTGGAAAGTCATTCTTGTATCTTTCATTTTTTTCTTCACTCATATAGGAAACTGTTGGTTGCATTAATTATTTTTACCCCAAGCACTGTGGAAACAACAGAACAAAAATGAGGAGAGAAGTCAGCTTACAGAGGTGTAGTCCACTGTCAAGTATTAATGAGGAGAGAGAATAAAACATATTTAGAAAGGTATCTACATAGTACAGATCCGGACTTTAGCAAATACCTTTTTCTAGAAAATGTGCATTTCCTTTACTCATATATAATGCAGGCCCCCTCCAAACACACACACACATGCTGGCTACTGGAAGCATATAAATGAATCAGTCATTACTTCTGACCTCAAAAAGTACATAGTTTAGCAAGATAGAAAAGATTGCTTACCCCATGAATATACCAATACAGGTGTAAAGTATAGGCCAGCATACATCTAAACTCAGCCTATAATAAAAGGCAAAGGAGAACAGAGTCTTACTTCAGACAAACATACCCCAAAAGGAAGAACAAGGAAGGAATTCAGCTATGCATACCCAGTTTCTCCTTGCAATTCTAGTGAGCAGATATGCCACTATACCTCCTGTGTGGACAGATAGAACGAGGCCGGGATTGTTTTCTTTGGAGATTTATCCAAAGTGAAGACAGTCACTGGAGTTGAACAGGGTGTCCCCCTTTTTCTCCTTCACAGTAATGAAATTGTGCTTTATTTTTCTTTCTCTGCAGTTATTCAATTTGGATTTGTTACACTATTTGTGGCCTCTTTTCCTTTGGCTCCTCTTCTTGCTCTCATGAATAATATTGTAGAGATTCGAGTGGATTCCTGGAAACTGACTACTCAGTACAGGAGAACTGTAGCTTCTAAAGCTCATAGCATAGGAGTTTGGCAAGACATTCTCTTTGCAATGGCTGTCCTATCAGTTGCAACAAATGTAAGTGGATCTGTTTTAGTGGGCAACTTTGTGTTTTATTTTGTTTCCTTGGGGATGAGGAGATATGAATGATGCTTGGTTCAATCTTTGTTCACAATGATTTCTTCATGCTGAAAGTACATAAAAATAAAACTTACCTAAACTTTTATTCACTATCCAGTATGGAGAAACAAATCTGTGACATGCAAACTTTCAGAAATGCAAGGTATGCTCATGAAAATATCATGACACATCTTCATAGCCTGTGACAAAGTAGAAAATAAGCAGTGGTATAAAATATTTGAATAATAGAACTAAAGATTGATTGTACTTGAATTTGTAGACTACAGAAAATTATACAACATTTACTTGTTATGCTTATGGAGTATTTATCTTATAATGATAAGAAAACTAAATTCCCAAATGTCGAAATTTTACACTGCATATTTATCTACAAAAATTTTTTAAAATTGAAGTTTTAATAAGATAATAAAAAAGAAATTCTAACCACTTAACATGAATTCTAAGTAAACTTTGAATAAGAACAAACAATTGAAATTATAGAGAGAGCTTAATTTTAATGAAAATCTATAGGAAAGAGCTAAAACCTCTGTTACAGAAAATTCCATAGCCATAAATATTTTCAATTATTAATAAAATAAGACAGAAAAAATGGTTGAACATGTAACTTAAGACATTAAGAAAAAAATGTAAAATAAATCAATAGAAAGTAATAAAAATAATAATCAGAAATTAGAAAACAAACAAAAAGCAATATAATTGTCAAGTAAATCAAGAGTCAGTTTGTTGAAAAGGCAAAGCGGAACTGAAAAAAAAAAAAGAAATACTGCTATGTACCTATTTATTCCAGTAAATTTTAATATTTATTTGAAAGGACCACTTTAAAAAATGAAATTTGCCAAATGTATTCAAGAAGTGACAAAAAACTTAAATGGACCATTAACTATAAAGTAATATTAAATGCGTTTTAAAAATGTACCACTAAAAATGTATATGCTAGAGCCAGATGACTTGTAAGTGACTTGTTCAACCTAGTAGAAACATACTAGTTATATTATCCCATCCCATGGAACCAAATACTCAAAATAACTGCAGTGAACTGTGAGAAATTTACAAGCACATGGTCTTCTGTCTGTCCATTCTCTCCCTATCACCCTTCTACACACACACACACACACACACACACACACACACACACACACACACACACACACACAGAGTCCTCCTGTCTCATGGAGTTGATCCAGGCAAGTGAACTTGGTAAAGGATAGTACAGCTGTGTTATGAAGCAACAGGAAAAGTAAGAAATAGCAAGACCTGGTGGAAAGAACAAGGTTTTGAGGTCCATTTTTCTACTCAGCTGCTTTGTCTCTATGAAATCTTGGAATACTAGTCACACACCATTTTTGAGCTGTTTTGTATTGTAGGCCAAAGACTCTCATATGAACACAATTTATAATAGTATTTTAATTATTTTCCATCCATATGGCTTATGGGACTGAGAGGTATACAAATCAGACATTTTTAAAACTCGACTGGAAGCTCATGTTCTCTCTTTGTTCTTCAGGCTTTTATTGTTGCATTTACATCAGACATCATTCCGCGTTTAGTTTACTACTATGCCTATTCAACAAATACCACGCACCCTATGAGAGGATATGTGAATAACAGCCTGTCCATATTCCTGATAGCTGATTTTCCAAACCAAACTGCACCTTCAGAAAAACGAAGCTTCACCACTTGCAGGTTTGTTTTTGTTTAAGATCCAATTTTGCCCTTCACACATATTTATTAAGTTATCCATCCCCTTTGTGCTTTTCCATGTAAAGGATTGATTTGGGGCAAAAAAAATTCCTGGATAAATAAAATGCATCAACTCTGGGATTTACATATTGTCTGATCCTGGTTTGTAGAGGTAGACTGTCAGAAAGTAACAGAATATCATAGGTAAAAATAACATCAGTTTTGAGTTGTTTCTTATTTGCTAAATTTTTCAAAAGGATTGCTCACCAACAAATGCCCCTTGATCCAAAAATTGTGATATCTAGAGATCACACAGCATGATCATGTTATATGTGCATTTAACTTACTTGGATTTTACTATGTGTCCCCTAAAAAGAGCTAGTGAGACAGAAGTAACAATATAATAATATAATCAGTTCATGAGCCATCTCACTAAAAGTGTTTCTTCTGTGTACTGAATGTGAAATCAGGTATGTGATTCCATACAGAGATGTTTCCATACTCAGCATATCCAGTGCTATGAGAATCTTTTAAGGATAGAATTTAAAGATACACACACACACACACACACACACACACACACACACACACACACACACCCCGTTTCATCTGTTTCATTTGGGGATCCAGCAAAGAAAGAGCAAAATGTTTGAAGACAGACAGACGAAAACATTGTTATATCTTATATTTTAATACTGATAAATCACAGCCTAGTGTTTAAGAGCTTGATCACTGGTGTCAGATTTCTTAATGTCATCACTTCTTGTCTGGACTAAATCTTTGAAGAATGTCTTTACGGTGCTCTTGTAGAATAGAATAAGCTCACAAATGTAAGCATTTAGAAAACTCCAGCCGGGCTTGGTGGCTCAGCCTGTAATCCTGTGCCTTGGGAGGCTGAGGTGAGTGGATTGCCTGAGCCCACGGGTTCGAGACCCGCTTGGGCAACATTGTGAGACCTCATCTCTACAATAAATCAAAAAATTAGTTGGGCATGGTTGCACGTGCCTGTAGTTCCATCTACTTGGAAGGCTGAGGCAGAAGGATTGCCGGAGCCCAGCAGGTCGAGGCTGCGGTGGCCGGGAGCGGTCACTGCACTCCAGTCTGGGCGACGGAGTGAGACTCCAACTCACAAAAAAAAAGAAAAGAAAAGAAAAGAAAACTCCAAAAAGGTAGTAAGGAAAACAAAGGAATACAAAGTCAGAGCAACCAAGAGAAAATAGTTTCAAGAAAACAGAAATGGTCAACAATACCAAGCTGTATTCTTAAAAGGTCAAAAATAAGATGAGGATTAAAATATTCCTTCAATTTAAGGACAGGAGACAATTGGTTTTGGTGGAGAGAGGGACAGAACCCAGTGTATTAAGGAGTAGGAAAAGAGGAAGGAAAGACAGCAAATTTAGACAACTCTTTTGAGAAGTTGTTTTTTTAAAAGCAGAAGAGAAATTGTACTTGTGTGTTTCCTGATAGATCTATATTACACATAAGCAGCATAATACAGCCATGACTTTATGTGAACAAGAAAAACAAATGTTTCAGAATGTCATTTGTCTTTCTACGACCTGATATTTGTAGTTGACTAGAAGGGTCTCTTAAGAAAAATAAGTTGTACTGTATCTGTCTAGTTAAAGCTATAGCTAATTTGTGTGTGTGTGTGTGTGTGTGTGTGTGTGTGTGTGTGTGTGTGTGTGTGTTTACTTTCATTTTTCAGGTACAGAGATTACAGATATCCTCCTGATCAGGAGGATAAATATTTTCATAGTATGCAATTCTGGCATGTCCTTGCTGCCAAGGTGACCTTCATCGTAGTTATGGAAGTAAGCTCTTTTTCACTTTCATTTCAACTACTCTCTTGCTTTAGGCAGATATTTCTAAAGGTATCTTCTTATCCGAAAGCTAGCATTATTTCAATAAATTGTTTTGAAGGAAGTATTGTTGACATTAAAAAAAAGCATCTTGGGGATGTTCTCAGCACAGTGGGTTATCTATTGTTTATTTACTGTTGTTGAAGATGCCCTGATGACAGAAAAGGAGATAAATGCATGGCTATTCCCTCATGGTCAGGCGAAGGGGAGATAACCCTGATTTTACAGAATATCTATTAAGTACTAGTTCTAGAGGCAATTTTAAGTCATTATAATCTTGTAAATTAGACGTTACTACTCACCTTTGTAAAAGGAAGCCGAGACTTAACAAAAGTAGGTGATTGGCTTAAGGCTAACCAGCTAATACTAAAGTTCTATTTCAATGCCAGATATGTCTCACTCCCAAGCCTATGCTTTGCCTACTATGTTATACTTCTTCTCTTGTGAGATATCTGGTGGAATTATAAGGATGAGTAATGAAAGAAAACATATCCAATACAAAGGCAGTATTTGACTAAGTTTCAAATTGGGTGCCCCAAATCATAAATCAGGAAGACCAATAAGGGGTAAGTAAATAAAAGTTAAAAGTAAGGCATTTTTTTCCCTGTGGTAAAGTCCATAATGGAGATTTCTAACCCAAGCACATGAAATTCCAAACAGTTTCTTATATCATTTTCATTTTTTTAAAAAAAATAGTTCTAAATGGCTTTTTTTAAAAAAAAAAACAAAACCAGTTTTATATAATATGCCTCTCTATAAGGCAAAGATTTTAATTTTTTAAACTCATTTTTCTAGTAATTACCTGTGTGTTCAGTTAAAAATTCCAGTGGGAGCCGGGCTCGGTGGCTCAGCCTGTAATCCCGCACCTTTGGGAGGCTGACGTGAGTGGACTGCCTGAGCCCGCGGGTTCGAGACCCGCCTGGGCAGGTGAGATCCCATCTCTACAACAAATAAAAAAAAAATTAGCCGGGCGTGGTAGCATGCGCCTGTAGTTCCAGCTACTTGGAAGGCTGAGGTGGAAGGATCGCCGGAGCCCAGCAGGTTGAGGCTGCGGTGGCCAGGAGCGGCCACTGCACTCCAGTCTGGGCGACAGTGAGACTCCAACTTAAAAAAAAAAAAAAAAATTCCAGTGGGCCTCCAGAATGTTAGGTCAGACCTACGGGGGTGGGGACAGGGAGAGGGTGTCTGGTCTGTGATCCGATGCCATGCAAAAGATGCAAAGGATTGCACAAAAATTAGATTGGAAAATATAGTTTATTTGGAAAGTAAATTAGAGAAAGAGAGAGAGAGAGAGAGAGAGAGAGAGAGAGAGGAGATTCACCTTCTCAGTGTAGGGGAGGGGACCAAAGCTAAGAAACATGGTGACCATAGCTCAAAGAGCCATGGGGACACACCAGAGTTTAGCAAAGCAATGGCAAATGGCTGCTTGAATTTGAATGCCTTTACACCTTCCCTTTGATGGAGTTATTGGGCGGTGATCTTCTTCATATCATCATGAAGAGCAGGTAAGCACAAGTGCTTTTTTAAAATTCTTTTTAAATAAAATTTATTTATTTATTATAAAGATGTGGGGTACAATTAAGGGTTAGGTATATAAACACCAATCATGCAGGTGCCCATGTTGATGAAGTAGCCCCTCCCTCCCCTAGCAATTTTCCTCAACTGCCAGTCCTACCCTCCCTCCCCTGACAGTTTTCCACTACTGCCAATCCCTTTCTTATAGCATTATAATTGTTCAAGGTCACTTTATGAGTGAGAACATATGGAATGCAGTTCTTTGTTTCTGTGATAAATCACTGAGTACGATCGACTCCAAATCCATCCAAGTTGCTGCAAAGTCCATATATTTGTCCTTCTTTATGGCTGCATAATATTCCGTTGTGTATATGCACCACATATTTTTTATCCAGTCGAGCTTCGATGGGCAACAGGGTTGGTTCCCTGTTTTTGCTATTGTGAATAGAGCTGCAGGTGATGGATGGCAGGCAGATGGGTGGGCTAGTCACAGAATTGCTGCTGTGTTGATGGGGTCTGTGTCATGAAGATCAGGAAGAGCTGATTAGGTTAACTTGTTTATAAAACAAACTGGGGAAGGGGTCCTAAAACAATTATCAATAGCTACCTCTGAGAAACTGGTTCTGCCCTTGGCTAGTGATTAGAGTGTACATTAAAGTTAACTGCTAGAAGAACAAAATCAAAAACTTCACAGCAACCTGGATGAACGTAGAGTCTATGATACTGAGTGATCTTTCACAGAAACAAAGAACCGAGTATCACATGTTCTCACTCATAAGTGGACCTTGAATAACTGTTGTAATACTATAAGGTAAGGATGACAGCAATGGGAAACTGTGTGTGGGGGGGTGAGATTGGCAGTAGTGGAAATCTGTCTGGGGAAGCGGGGGCACACCTCATCAACAAAGATACCTGCACAATGAATATTTGTATACCTAACCCTGAATTGTACCCCACAATTTTAAAATAAAAAAAGTTAAAAGTTAAAAATAAATAAATAGGTAGTAGGACATTGTGGTGAGGGCCTGTAGTCACAGCTACTCCAGAGGCTGAGGTGGAACAATTGCCTGAACCCAAAAGTTTGAGGCCGCAGTAAGCTGTCATTGTGCCCCTGCACTCCAGCCTAGGTGGCAAAAGTGAGACCCCAACTCTAATAAATAAATAAATGCATACATACAAACAAACATACATGAAACTACAAAATGAAAATTCATCTGCAAAATGATATTGTTTCACCCTACAGAGGGAAAGGACATAACATGGAGTCAATATATCCAATGAGCAGCCATTTTAACATTTTTTCCCAGTCTGTGGGCTGTCTCCCTGTTCTCTTGATGGTTTCATTAGCTTTGCAGAAGCTTGTCAGTTTGATGAGGTCCGACTTGTCTATCTTATCTTTTACAGCATGGGCACTTAGGTTTTTGATAAGGAATTCGTTGCCAGTTCCAATTTCCATGAGTGTCTCCTGCATTTTCTAAGGTTCTTACAGTTTGAGGTTTTACGTTTAGGTCTGTGATCTATTTAGAGTTAATTTTTGTGTTTGGGGATAGATAGGGGTCCTGTTTCTATCTTCCGCATGTGGTCAGCCTGTTTTCCCAGCACAATTTACTGAATAAGTTCTCTCCCCAGTGATTGGTGGTGGAGGCTTTGTCAAAGATAAGTTGGTTGAGAAACTGAAGTTTTGCTTCTGGAATCTCAATTCTATTCCGTTGGTCTGTATGCCTGTTCTTGTACCAGTACCAGGCTGTTTTGATTATTGTAGCTTTATAATAAAGCTTAAAGTCTGGAAATGTGTTATCTCCTGCTTTTTTGTTTGTTTGTTTGTTTTTGCTGATGATTGTTTTGGCTACTCATGGTCGTTTATCTTTCCATGTGGATTCCTGTATTGTTGTTTCTAGATCTGAGAAGAATGTTGCTGTAATTTGATGGATATTGCATTAAATCTGTATATTGCCTTAGGTAGAATGAACATCTTAACAATGTTGATTCTTCCAATCCATGAGCATGGAATATTTTTCCACTTGTTTGTGTCATCTTTGATTTCTTTGAGCAGTGTTTTGTAGTTTTCATTGTAAAGGTCTTTAACATCTCTAGTTAGGAAGATTCCAAGGTATTTCAATTTTTTGTGGCTATTGTGAATGGAATTGTGCTTTTTATTTGGGTTTCTGTTTGTTTATTATTGGTGTATAGAAATGTGATTATCTTTTGCACGTTTACTTTATTCCCTGAGACTTTGCCAAAGTCCTTTATCAGTGCAAGGAGGTTTTTAACAGATTCTCTTGGGTTTTCAAGGTATAGAATCAGTTCATCTACAAAAAGAGATAGCTTGACTTCCTCTTTTCCTATTTGGATACCCCAGATCGCCTTCTGTTTTTTTTTGTTTTTTTGTTGTTGCTGTTTTGAGTTGGAGTCTCACTCTGTCTCCCAGACTTGAGTGCAGTGGCCAGTGGCCACTCCCGGCCACCAAAGCCTCAACCTGCTGGGTTCCAGTGATCCTTCCACCTCAGCCTTCCGAGTAGCTGGAACTACAGGCGCGCACTACCACGCTCGGCTAATTTTTATTTTTTTATTTTTTTTTTTATTGTAGAGATGAGGTCTTGCCAAGTTGCCCAGGTGGGTCTCGAACCCACGGACTCAGGCAATTCACTCACCTTGGCCTCCCAAAGCGTGGGATTATAGGCAGAGCCACCGAGCCCGGCCTCGCCTTCTGTTCTCTGTTTGCTCTAGCTACGACTTCCAAAACTGTGTTGAACAGGAGGGGTGAGAGTGGGCATCCTTGTCTTGTTCCACTTTTCAGGGCAAATGGTTCCAATTTCTATTTGGCAGTATGCTGGCTGTGGGTTTCTCGTAGATGACTGTTACTATTTTGAGCTATGTTACAGCTATGCCTAGATGTTCTAGGGTTTTAATCAAGAAGGGGTGCTAGATTTAACAAAAGCTCTTTCTGCATCTAATGATTTAATCATGTGGTTTTTGTTTTTACGTCTGTTGATGTATTTAATTAAGTTTATGGCCTTACAAATGTTGAACCAGCCTTGCATCCTGGAGATGAAGCCTATTTGGTCATGGTGGATGGTTTTTGAGATGTGTTGTTGAATCCGGTTTGCTAGGATCTTGTAAGAATTTTAGCATCTATGTTCATCAAGAATATTGGCCTATAGTTCTCCTTCTTTGTTGGATCTTTGCCTGGCTTGGGTATCAATGTCATGTTAGTATCATAAAATGGCAAAATTTATTTATTTATTTATTTATTTATCTATCTATCTATCTATCTATCTATCTATCTATCTAGAGATGAGTTCTTGCATGTTTCCTAGGCTGGTCTTGAACTCCTGGGCTCAAGCAATTCTCCCCCGATCAACTCCCATAATGCTGGGTATACAGGTGTGAGCCACTGTGCCTGGACCTTTTTTAGGTTTTGAGATTAATTTTCGACTTGTACTAGAGCAGATCTTGCACACACCACACACACACGCAAGTATTTGTGAACATGTGCACAAACACAGAGAAAATTGAGTTTTCCCCTAGCTTTCAATTTAGTTAAAGCATAATTTTTTGTTTGTTCAGATCCATGATTTCTTATTCTGGAATTCCAAACCTCAGGAAACAGAAAACGTTTTAGTAACTTATTTAGTAGCAGTACCTGATCTGCCATGACTTGGGACTGTTATAGCCTTTATTTATTCTTTTTAGAGTGACAGCTGCAGAAATAATTGTTTATTACAGAGTGCTGCCTCAGATACTGCTGACAAATGGTTTACACACTAATTTATATAATTTTAACATTTAACAACTCTCAACTCTGAAATATTTCTATCCATCAGAGTTTTGAATAAGAGATTACAGATAATACAATAGTCAAGATTTATAATTTATGACTTCATAAATATTATAATTATAAATATACATTACATCTGTTAAATACAGAAAGTACTCTGAGTATATTTCCCTTATTATGATTTTGTTTTTCTTTTCTTTCTCTGTGTCTCTCATTTCTTTATGACTTTATCACTTTTTCATTTCCACATTTTCCATCAGAAGTTTAGATCACTTTTCAGTCCAGTAAATTACATAGGGTATTTTTTGTTTGAATTATTATTATTATTATGATGATGATGATGATGATGATGAAATCATCCCAGACTCCAGGCTAGTGTCATCCTTGAACTTCTCTTCACCTTTTCTTCTGTTGAGGATATTTTCTGCAGTCTATGTTCCTTCCATTTTCGTTTGCCAACTTATTTTGGTGAAGCACATCTTCCAGTAATTATTTCAGTGAAAATGATGGGCAGTTCGTTTTTGTGAAATTAAATATTGGACATTTATTTTCTTTTCTTGTATGTGATTACTTGGAATAAACTTAATGATTGAAAATTGCTTTTTTTCAAAAATTTTAACCAACTTTAATTAGACACTCCTGAAGTTTTGAAGACATTGCTCCATTTTGGTTTCACTTTTGGTGTTGTAAAATGCAGTACCATTCTGAATCCACAGTCCTCGTTTATGATCTATTTTTAAAAATCAATATGCTTTTATGATTCTCTCACTATTTCCCATTTTATGAAACACTACTAAACAGTTTGTTGCTATTGGACAGTATTCATTGCTCTGAACACTCACTGAACCCCTCATATCGGAAATTGTACTTACCCTTCAAGTTGAGAAAATTTGCTTGTATGGTTTCTTTGATAATTTTTTTCTTTATTTATTTTATCTCTCTGGGACTGCTATTATTCAGACATTACACCTCTGGTGTGAAATTCTGATTATCATTTATGTTCTCGTCTGTGAAGAACGTTAGTATCTATCTATTTTTAAATTTACTTTTTGTTGTGTTGTTGTTTTCCTGTCTGTATTTCTTCAGAATTCCTGGTTGTGTATTTCATTCATTTTCTTTTATGCTAGAGACTTTCCTAAATATTTGAAGATTTTTGCCCATATTTAGGAGTGAGGCAGTGAAAAGCTGATTGATTATAAGCTTTTAGTGCATACAGAAGTGTTATCACACAATTAGTTTCAGTGTAGGGTGATAAGGTAGTGTGAGTCAACCTTTTCATTGGAGATTTACAAAATTTTGATATCTATAGTTGAACTTTCATTCACTAGTTATTTTAAAGGAATCATAATCTTACCATTCAGTACGCTGAATTTCACTTATTTAGCACTTTTGTTTTTATTTGCCTGCTTTTTGTTTGTTTTTTTGACTTGGAGTCCCACCAGTCTTGCCAAGGCTGGAATGCAGTGGCATACTCACGGCCACCATAGCTTCGACCTACTGGGCTCAGGTGATCCTTCCATCACAACCTTTCAAGTTGCTGGAACTACAGGCATGTGCCACCATACCCGGCTATTTTTTAAATTTATTGTAGAGATGAGGTCTCGCCAAGTTGCCCGGGCTGGTCTCGAACCCATGGGCTCAGGCAGTCCTCTCACCTTGGCCTCCCAAAGTGCTGGGATTATAGGCTTGAGCCACTGTGCCCGGCCTTAGCATTTTTGTTTTCAGGATGGTTTTACACCTCTGTCTTCAGTTATATCTGGTGCCCCTGAGTTCACAGCTTTCTGGTATACTTTCTGCAGATAATAAACTCTTCAGCTGCCTCTAGGGTAGGGTACCCAAGGAGATAATACCTGGATACCAGTGGGAGAGAGGCTCTGAAAATCCAACTGCTCTTTATACCAATTTTTGACTATTCCTTTTGTTTTCAACTGCACCCACACCAATGCCTTAAAAAGTATTTAGTACTTTCTTTCCCGAACTTTTCTGAGGAGGTAAAACAAAGTTGGCTCTTCTCCTTTTGGTTTTCACTATCAACCAGTTGAATGTTTTAGTGCTGTCTTCACTCTTCTGAGCTGAATCCTTTACAAACGTTTTATCAGATTTTTCAGGAGGAAGAAGAGGTAAAGAGTATATTCAGTTATCATGTTCAGCTGAAACTTCCCTTGTGACATATTTAAGTATTTTTACTTAAAATACGTGTACTTAAAGTATGTCTTTTTTAAATGTTGGTCTTGTTCTAGATTAGGAACCATATTTGTCGAGAGCACAGTTTATTGAATGAGTGGAATGATTTGTAATGTGTGAAAACACAATGTGTGAAATGTCCTGCTGAACATTTAACCCTTCTAACCCTGTCTCATCTTCCTTTGTGTTTTCTCTAGCACACTGTGTTTCTACTTATATTTTTGTTGACCTGGATGATACCCGACGTTCCCAAAGATGTTGTGGAGAGAATCAAGCGAGAAAAGTTAATGACTGTCAAGATTCTCCATGACTTTGAGCTCAACAAATTAAAAGAGAATTTGGGAATAAATTCTAACACATATGCCAAGCATGTCATGATTGAGGAAAACAAAGCACAACTGGTGAAATCAACAATCTAATCAGCATGATGATCAAGCAGTTAGTGGTCTGCCTCATTTCACTTTTTTTCTGGGTTTAGGACCAGAGGCCAGAAGCCATGTGTCAATTTTACTCTTTCTTTTTCTTATTTTTTTATCTCAAAATTTTAAATACAATTCTATAAAGGCCAACTTTGTAATGTTGGAAAAGTATCACTTCCCTGATTCTTTGGCTGAGTCCTTTCCAGATATTGTTTTCTGAAGCACTGTTAGTGAGTGTTGAGAGTACATGTAGAATCTGAATACTGGGAAATCATGGAGTGTTGCAGTTGAGAAACAAAACAAGGGACTCGGGTGTGCCATCACTTTCCCCTGCATCTAACCACTTTCATGGTCTTCTCTTGGGTTATTTGATATCTCTTTCCCATCAAGAAAAATATTGGGACAAAAAGAAAAAGAACAAAGAAGCTAACTGATGCCACATATATCCTGTCATCTTAAAATATGCAATAAGTAGCCAAAAATCAGGTGACATAAGAGAACACACATGTTAAAGAACTCATGTAGCATAGCAGGGGTTTCTTCCTGAAAATTGTCCTGAAAAATGTTAAATTTCCATCAGAATCCCAGATGATCCTTCCTGGTAAATGCAGAATTCATGTTTTTTCAAGAGACATCTTTTGGGTTTCAACAACAACAACAACCAAAAAACTAACAACTTTGTTCTTTAAGATAGCATTTTGGTAACAGTAGTTTCAAGACTGGATGGTCTTGTCTGGAAAACAACATTACTAAGATGTTAAATTGTCTCAGGCCTTCAAGTAAAGATATTGTAGAGAAGTACATGCGTTTTCTTCGCAGTTAAAGAATGCAAGACAATGTATATTGATTAATTTATTTCCCTTAATTTAGAATATTGTTAAATTATTTTTTAAAAACCACTTTTCTTCTTGAATGCCTGTTTCGCATCATAAAACCTTTTTGAACACTATTTGTATAAGTTAGGTAAAAGTTGTTTATGAAATGTTATACTTTTGCTTTAAAACAATCTCAAATCTTTTAATGAGTTTACAACCTTTTCTATTGATGCATCACTTTATACAATGCTCAGTGCCTTGTTCCTATGCCTCTGACACACAAAAAGTCATACTGCTGGCTGTTGATTTGATGTGATGTAGTATATCAAATGTAAGCTTGTTTTAGAAAAATTGTCAATGTAACAACCACCACAGAGTTTAACACCAAAAAAGTATCAACCAAGTAAGAATAAGTTGATGAACTTGATACCTAAGTGAAAAAATGTGTTGAATTATTTCTCTCAAATTCAGTCTAGTGGTACATGTGCAAAAATTTTTGCTCTTCTTTCATTAAAAAAAATACTACATATGTATAAATGTGTATGTGTGCACACACACATATAAATTACCACTAGAGTGATACAGTCCAATGTAGACATTATTTGAATCTCTAGTTTCAAATTACAATTCACTTCCAAAAGAACAGTGTTTTTTCATCATGTACATAAGAAGAAATATTATCTTAAGAATTTTTAAAGAAACGTTCATGTATCTGATGCTGATAAATTTTTCATGGCATCCAGCATGAAGTACATAGCAGATGGTATGAACTACTGATCGATATTAAGCCTTTACAACTGGAGATTATGGATTTTATAACTATGAGAGGGTTACCCTATTTTCAGCAGGACTGATTTGTCAACTATTGGGTTGATGTTATGAACATTTTAGGGTAATTTGAAATAACCTCATTAATGAAAGATGATTTCGTAGGTGGAGGAGATATATTTCTTTCTTGAGAAAACCAGTCATGGTTACCATGAAATAAACCACAAATGCAGTAACTTTGGCTTACCAAATCAAACTCTGCATTACTGCAATGTCGTACATTGCACACAGCTCACATTGCTTCCTTCCTGGGTGCTGATAAAAATAAGGAAGAGCATGGAAATTTGTTTCTTGGATATAAACTTTAACATTTATAGCTTAAACATATTTATAGAGCTAGAGTATAAGATAAATAAAGACACACAACTCAGAAAGTTATTTGTATACTGCAATTTTAAGACAAACCAACTCTGTTGGATTTCTGGAGTGTATGGAGAAACTAGCAAGGGGAGAAATCGTTTTGAAGTAAATGATTTCTATGATTGATAAATATTTCATTTTAAAAGTCTATTGACAAATACTTTGTATTCATCTTTAAATTTCCTACCAAAGTTTATCTTTGATTTACAGATTTTAAAATGAAATGCAGGTATTCCTCACCTTCCTGAAAGTTTGCTAATGAAGAATGATTCAGATAGATTTGTCATATTTTATTAAACCACTGGTTATTATGGGAGGGCTGAATTAAGAGCACATGATCACCAAATATCAGTTGATATATACCAGCATGGCAGTTGATTTTATCCTCTAATCAAACTCATAGTCATTTTTCCCCCCTCAGAAATGTAGCAGGGAACATTTGAGATTTTATATGAAATAAAATTTTAAGTGGAAAAGCCACACACAAAAAATACTTAACTATTTTAAGTGTTTTCTCTCATCATTGCCTTCATCAATTTTTCTTTGCACACAAAAAGCAAAATTCACTCCAGAACATTTATGTTAGAGGAATCCATAAAGCTGCATCTCCTGATGCCTCCTGGCTTTAATGATTTTCTTTTAACTAAGTCATTAAGCAAGTTAACAAAGAGGAGGAGAAGTAAAAGAGGAAGGAGGAACAGGACTGGGGGAGGAAGAAGGAGAACGGTGAGGGGGAGAGCGAGGAGGAAGAAGGAAAGAGAAAAGAGTTCCTTCCTTATGAATCCCATGAATCCCGTGTTTCTAGGGAAGAGAGAAGTGTTTTGAGGAGGCTTGGCGCAGTTGTGGATGGTAAGAGGCATGTCTCTTTCCTGGGCCGTTTAACAGAGGTGAGAGAAAAGTGAAAAAAATTTCAAGCTGGCAACTATTATCTGTCAAAAGTAAAACTTAGATTACAAAGTGATTTTGTAGTGTCAGAGTCATGGACCTCTGTGGACTGACTCCAGTTGAAAGTAAGGAAGGTGAGGAATTTGTATTGCTCATCCAAAAAGAGGATCTAGCCGGGCTGAGTGGCTCAGCCTGTAATCCTGCGCCTTTGGGAGGCTGAGGTGAGTGGATTGCCTGAGCCCGAGGGTTCGAGACCCACCTGGGCAACGAGACCTCATCTCTACAATAAATAAAAAAATCAGCCGGGCGTGGTAGCGCATGCCTGTAATTCTGGCTACTTGGAAGGCTGAGACTGAAGGATCGCCAGAGCCCAGCAGGTCGAAGCTGCGGTGGCCAGGAGCAGCCACTGCACTCCAGTCTGTGCGACAGAGTGAGACTCCAATGCAAAAAAAAACAACAAAAAAAGGATCTTTTGTTTTGAATGAACCTCTCTCTTATTTATTTTTAAATTGCTTGTAGTTATTATGTAAATGCAGCATATTATTTATGAAAATAGCACAAGAAGCATCATTGACCTGGCTTAAAAGTCTGCCATAATGAATAATTATAACTATTGTGTTATGATTTTTCTAGACAATTTTTTGTTCTTACGCATACAAATTCAAGTGTACTATTTATTTCTGCATTATGGAAAGATCGAAACAGAAGTTAAAAGAATAGTGTGGTTTAATTTGTGTGAGACACCTTTCTCTGCCTCAAAAGGTTTGACTAATATCTCTCATGCATGAGATTACATCCTCTATTATAAACTCAAAAAATATTTGCTCTTTTTTCTTTTTTTTAAATTTCTTCCAAGATTTTATTTTTATTTTTTTTAGGTGGAGTACATGTGAGCACACAAAGTTATCTTAAGTAACATGTACATGACTCTCAAAAGAGTCAAATGCACACAGTGAATATAGTAATACTTAATTTAAAACTACATTTTGGGCATAAAGTCAATTTATTCTTACATTAAACGGTCGATATAATTTTTTGAGTTTGAGTTCTCTTAAGATTTTTTTAAAACCGTTCTGTGGTTTTTGCTTAGAAACATTAAATGTATATGTCTAACATGTTTTAGCACATGAAATTACACATTTGGCACATTTAGAGATGCAAATTCCTGTAAGTAAGAAGCTGGATTATTCAGAAAAATTGGCAGTTAGTAATTTTTGCTGTTTTATCTCCTTATTTTTTTCTACTTTGGAATATGGTAAGTGTGAACAGAAAGGCTCAAAGAAAAAAAATAGTATGTCGACATAGTTTCCTCCTCCCCCTTTCTTTTTTTCTAGTCTCATTTTTTCCAAAGAGAAATTCACAACAGCTTTCATCAGAATTATCTGGGATGTTTGCTAGAAGCAGGCATCCCTAGGTCTTATCTCAGATCTCTAGAAACAGAGTTTCTGGGAGAGATGCTTTAAAAAGATCTCTAGGTTACTTGTTGAGGAGTGATAAGGCTTATGTGAATTTCATAAGATTCCAAATTCCTTAGCTTAAAGCATGTATAAACTATAAAGTGACTGTCAAATATCATCATTCCAGCTCAGTAGAGAAGTGTGTCAAGGGATGTAGAGTCAAGATTTCCAGCTTTATAGAGTTACTCCAACCCTGTGGAATGTAAAAGTGGTTGAAATCTTATAACTAAAAAGTCCTAGACCACCCACAGACCACTCTCTGTGTGCAGCCCAGGATAGCTGGTAATGTGGTCCCACAAAATCTTTTAATGCCATGTGTATTTATTTTTTTTGAGTTGGAGTCTCACTCGGTCACCCAGACTAGAGTGCAGTGGCTGCTTCCGGCCACTGCAGCCTTGACCTGCTGGACTCCAGCAATCCTTCCACCTCAGCCTTCTGAGTAGCTGGAATTACAGGCATGCGCTACCACGCCTGGCTGATTTTTTGATTTATTGTAGAGATGAGGTCTCGCTGCCCAGGCGGGTCTCGAACCTGTGGGCTCAGGCAATCCACTCACCTCAGCTTCCCAAAGGTGCAGGATTACAGGCTGAGCCACCGAGCCCGGCTGTCTTGTGTATTTTAGTGTTTATTTTCTTTGTGACCCCATGTGTAGCTC